GGGAGGGGTCAGAGGAGCATGGGGGCAGGGGTGCAGGAGCACTGAGACTGAGCAGTCTCTTGATATTCTCTTGAGCATCAGTGCAGTGGCTGCAGAGCAAGGTACGACCTGATGTGTCCTCGCCTCCAAATCAGGGCTGCTCCACTTCCCAGGTCAGAGTTCCCTGGAGGGCCCGTGGGGACCCTGAGCCCTCACCAGCATCCAATCCAGCAGGGCCAGAGGGGCCCAAGAACCTGCATTCCTCAGGGTTCCCATGATGCTTGCCGTCCAGGAGCCCTGTCCAGACCACGCTCCCATTCATGCCCTGGCAGTGGAACCTGGAGCCTTGGTTTCTTCACCTGCAAAGTGGGAGTATCAGCATCACCCGCATCGAAGGGCCCACGTTAGACATGGCGATGCCCGTGGACTAGCAGCCCTGACCCTCCCCAGACCCTCTGAGGGAGCTGAGGCCTGCTGGCCCTGGTGGCCGCTCCCTCTCCAGGCTGAAGACAAGAAGGTCTCTCGGACCCACCTCCGACCAGAGGAGGCAGGTCACAGCCTCCAGGGCCAGGCTGGGGCCACCACAGAGCCCACGGGTGGTGAGAGGGAAGCGGCTTCGGTGGCTGAAGGTCACTGGGTAAAGTGGGGGTAGATTAGGGAGAGCACAGCGTCCGTGTGTTCACATGTGCACTTCCCAGTGTTTCTGTGGGCACTCAACATGTGCACAAGTGACAGGCTTGGCAAGCCATCCTCACCACCCAGACGGAGACGCCGGATGTGACCAGCACCCCCAGGGTTCCCTCCCAGCCCCCGAGGTAACCCCAGTGCTGTTCACCACAGAGGGCTCATTCTGCCTGTTTTAGGGTTTCGGTAAATGAAACCCCACAGCTGTACCTTTTTGCCTGGCTTCCTTTCAGCCACGTCTGAGATGCTCACTTTGCTGTTGCTTCTGTGGTTCCTGGGCAGTTTCCCTTGGGTGGACGTGACTCAGTGAGACCACCCCTTCTTCCATGTGTAGACTTTCCAAATAGTCTAGGCAAGAGAGGCTCAGGTAGGGAGTTCAGGGAGGGGCAGTGCACCAGCAGAAGCCTCCTGGCAAGGAGCACGCCCCTCCCTTGGGGGAGGCCCTCAGATTGGCGGGGATGGAGGCGGCACCCGTGCGTGACTGACAGGGTGTGACATTCTGCTGTTTCTCAGAAGAAACTCCCAAGCAGCACATCGGTTCCTGGTGTGTTTCACAGACTCTCACCAGATTTTAGGGTTCACTCTTTGTCCTACAGTTTAAACACACCCCAAAGTGAGAAAATTATGAGAGTATTTCCCTCAGAGACCCATATTCTGTGTTAAAGAATTCTTCCTTCTACCTAAATTCATCTCCTTACAGTTGGATGTCATTTGTTGTGGTATTTTGTCCATTTTCAGCTTTGTTTACATTTTTTTGACATGCAATAAAATGCCCATATTTAAGATGTACAGTTTGATAAGGTTTGACATTCTGCTACACCTACAATAGAGACAATGGACAGCCCCTCCCCCAGGCCAGCCCCAACCCGTCCCCTCCCCAGGCCGGCCCCACCCTGTCCCCTCCCCCAGGCTGGCCCCACCCCGTCCCCTCCCCAGGCCGGCCCCCACCCCATCCCCCACCCTCCTGCCCCTCCAACTACACTGACCTTTCTGTCACTGTACATCGATTCATTTCTGCCCTGGGTAAGAATAAGTATACACAGTGTGTATACTCTTACTGCCTGACATTTTTTCACAGTGTAATTATTTTGAGATTCATCCTTTTCAATGCTGGACGGCACCGGTTGCATGGACGTATCATAATTGGTTCATCCACTGACCGGTGGAGGACATTCAGGTTGTTTCAGATTTTGGTGATCACAGGCAAGGCTGCTGTGAACGTTTACAATACAGTCTTTCTGTGGACATTCCCAGAACAGGCACATCTGGGTCATATGGTGACTCTGTGTAGCTTCTTAAGAAACTGCCGCACCGTTCCCTGTGGCTCCTGTGTTACCATCCTGTCAGCAGGCTGCACCCTCACCAGCCCTTGGCAGGACCAATTTTGTCTGTAGGTGCCTCTCATAATGGTCTTCATTTGCACTTCCCAACCTGCCTCAGCCTCCCAAAGTTCTGACATTACAGGTATGAGCCACTGCATCTGGCCCCAAGTTAATTTTTGTATGTGGTGTGAGGTAAGGGTTTTGAGGATTTGTACTTGTTTTGTTTTGTTGCTTATGAGTGTCCAAATGACCCAGCATTCCTTGTGGGGAAGATTCTTCTCTCCCTGTTGAATTGCCTCGGCACATTTATCAAAAGTCAATTGGCCATAGATGAGTAGGTCTGGGCTTTGTTCTGTCCCACTGACCTGTTTGTCTGTTATAATGTTTATATTGACTGTCTTCATTAAAATCAAGCCATATAAATTCTTCAACTTTGCTCTCTTTAATGCTTGCTTTGGTTACTCTAAGTCCTGTGCATTTCTGTATAAACCTTAGAATTAGCTTGCTAATTTCTACAAAAATCCTGCTGGGATTTTGATTGGGATTGTGTTGATTCTAGAGGTCCATTTGGGGAGAGTTGGCATCTTCCATGAACATGCTATGGCAACCTTTATTTAGGCCTTTCTTCATTCCTCTCATGGATGTTTTTTAGTTCTCAGTATACAGGACTTCTATATCTTTTGTCAACTTTATTTCTAAGTCCTTTGTGTTTTTAGCTTTGCATTTCGAGCTAATTATAGCTTCACAAAAGTTGCAGAATAGTCCAGAAAGGCCCCACATTCCATCCCTCAGCTTCCTACAATGCAGTGCCTTGCAGAGCTACCTCGAATTCTTAAAAGCAGGAAACTGATACAAGCGCCACACCCGTCACTGGACGTGCAGCTCATCTGGACGTCCTCGTTTCCACGTGTTCATTTTATTCCGGGTGCGACGTGTGTGGAGACTCTGTGATGTGTGGCCACATGTGTCGGTTCCTGTGACCACAGCCACATTCGAGATGCGTGACCATCCATGTCCACCGGGTGAGGGGTGCCCCATGCTGCCCTTCTCCGACCAGGGCACACGCCGGCACGTCTGCCATCTCCATCACCTGTCCTTTCAAGAGCGTTGCATAAACAGAGCGTGGAATGCAGCCTTCGAGGTGGGGTTTTCTCTCCGTGTCTGCTTCTCGCCTTTGCTGAGCGTGTTGTGTGGTGTGCGTTTAACACTCACCTGTTGACAGATGCTGGGGCTGTTCCCAGGTTTTCACTGTTACAGATGAAGCTGGTACAATCATCTGTGTGACTGAACATCTGAATTTCTCTGGGATAGAAGGCGTGCAATTGCTGGGTCACAACGGCAGGTATGTGTTTGACTTTTTATGAAACCACCAGACACCAGGATGGACGGAGATGAGTCGGACACAGGGGAAAGGGTGTGGGGCCAAAATCGGAAGAAGGGGTCTTGTAATTTTCCTTTTAGAAATCACTTCAAAATAAAGGAAATACACTCACACATACATGGTAAATTGCTTTTCAACCAAGGTGCCAAGAGAACCCAATGGGAAAAGAAAGATTGTGTGCGCTGTGGGCTGACTGGCTACAGTGAATCCAACTGCAGGGGACTCCGGCGCGTGCCCAGGGGATGCCTTTCAGGGGCCATGTGGGCCCCACCGCTGGGCTCCACGCACACGCACTGGAAATCCAGACCTGAGTGTGTCGCTGTAGAGATGTGCCGTGAGCCGCCCTGATGGGGTCACATGGGAGCTCAGCCAGCACCTCTAACGGGCCCCACTTGGTAGGTTCCCCAGTTACGGCCTCCAGAATCCAGCCAGGAAGGAGTGTAGTCTGAAGAGAATTGAGCTCCAAATGGGCTCTAGGAAGGGGCTGTCCTTGTGCCCAGAGTGAGGATGAGGTATTGGCCCCTGGGGAGCTGACCGGCTGTGGTGAAATATTTTTGAGGAAATCCTGGCTTTCTTCCCTTTCCTTCCCACTGGCTCGAAGGAGCCAAGGCCTTCCTCCCTCCCCTGGGCAAGCCCTCCACTTTGTTTTGACATTACAAGCCACTCATGACCCTTCCTCCCAGCATAGCCCGAGGGGAGAAATAGTTTCCTGGCCAGAGGCGAGAGGGCCTGGGCTGGCCGCCTTCCTGGGGCCTCAGCCTCCCTGGGATGGGGCTTGGTCCCCGTGGCTTCTGCAGTGCCTCAGCCGCCTGTGCCCTTCAGCTGCTCAAGGAGAGGTGGGAAACAGCTCTGGAAAGCCACGGGAGGAGCCACGGCAGAGGCGCAGAGTCACAGAGGCGCAGAGGCCCCTGGCCCGGACCCCTGCTGCTCCTGCGGCAAGCCTGGCCCCCTTGTGCTATTCACCAAGAAAAGCTTGGCCTCTTTGCCTCCTGCTGTGAGCGCTGGCCCTGGTGGCAGCCAGAACATACAGTGCCCCGGGTAGCTGCCTCGGGGCTGAGCTTGGCTGGGCTGAGCCAAGTCCTGATTCCAACAACCCTGGCTTTTGCGGGATTTCAAATTGTCCTCTTGAATGTCTCCCAGAAAGGCCAAATTCCTCCTCTCTAATGAGGAAAAGGATTGGCAGAAGGGGTCCCCTGACATCTCCCTGGAAGGGCTGAACTGGTAGCCGCTGGCAACACCACTCCCGTTACTGTGGCAACCACTGTTTTGGGGTAAACTGCATACTGCCCACGGGCCTGAGGGTGTGAGGTTTTCCTTTTCTCTACTCCCAGCCCACCAGCCACTGGCAAAAAACCCTACCAGATTAGGGTGCTTTGAAAGAGAAGTAAACAGCCCTGTGCCCCCAGGGGCCACGCTTGGGCCAAGTGTCAGCTAAAAAACAGCAGCTCTGTGAATTGTGATCATAGGCACGCCTTGTGCCACGTGAAATGGGCATAGTCCCATTGGAGATCATCTTAAAATCCAGAGCTGTTTCGAGCTGAGCTGATGAAGACTGCAGGATTCCATTAAGTTCAAGGTTCTCTAGCATTGGACAGAAAAGACATTTACACGTAACAGACTTTCACCAAGTTCAGAGGCTCAAAGATCGAGGTAGGAAAGACAGACTCACTGAGAGGTGCTCTGAGGTCTCCCTGGCTCCTTGATGCCTTTGAGAAAGGCACAGGGCCCCAGCACCCCCCGCCACCCACACTGGAGGCAAGGTGGGAGCAAGGTGGGAGCAGCCAGCGCCCCTCACAAGCGCTGAGGGTGGCCGGCGGCCGAGTCTGCCTGAGGTGCACTCGGTGGCCACTGAGCCCTGCCCTTGGGGAGTGCTCACCCCTCAGCAGTCCCGCTGAGGCTCCGCTTCTGCAAATGGCCGCCTCCACGGGAGGGCAGAAGGAGAGCTCTGGGTGAGTCAGACGGCAGCATCGGCTCCTGTCAACAGAGAGAGTCAAAGTGTAAAAGGTGGAAAGAGATTTATTCTGAGCCAAAGATGAGTGGCCGTGGCCGGTGACACAGCCCTCAGGAGGGCCTGGGGACACCCCAGGATGTCGGAGGCAGTTTCTTATGCATTTTAGGGAGGAAGAGACTTCAGCCAATACATTTAAGAAATGCCTTGGTTGGGTTCAGAGAGCAGGACGACAAAGCAGTCAGGAGAGTGGAACTCTCAGGCTGTAGGAAGATCTGAGAGCTTTCTGGTGGACAGTTGGTTACGTTGATCTGAAGACCTAGGATCAATAGAAAGGAATGCCTGGTTTTAGATAAGGGATCCGGAGACCCAGGCTCTTGTTCGCAGAGGCCCTCAGGTAGCGGCTTCAGAGGGTTGTAACGTGTTTCCTATCCGACTTCAGTCTATGTCGGGAAAGGGGGGCTGAGGCATGCCTGCCCCCACTTCCGTTATGGCCTAAAACCGTCTCTCAGGGTGTATTTTCAGAGGGCCCTGGCCGAGGAGGAAGTCCATTCAGATGGTCGGGTGCCTTAGCGTTTTATTTTTGGCTTACGCTCTGTTGGTGGGTGGTGACGGCTGCCAGGCAGGAGGGTGCCCAGGGCTGGCGGGGGCCCTGATGGGCGCTCCATGGAGACACCTGGCAGAGGAGGCGCTCACCAAATGCCCGCGGTCCCTGCACCCGGCGGGCAGCGTACCTCCTCCGCGCACTCGTCACAGGTGGGATCGGTCATCCACCGACTGGCTGCTCCACCTCTGCCTCTCCTCCAGCTGGGGCCTTCCGCATCCCTCGCTGTCACCCCACAGGCCTGGCCCCCTGGGATGGATCCCACCCCAGTTCATGACCTCATTTTCCTCCTGCTGGAAACCGTGTCCAGACACAAGCCCCTTGGCGGCTCACCTTGTCCTGGAGGCCGCCTTCCCCGATGCCCCAGACCCCTCCAGGTGGCATGGAGATGGAAGCAGATAAGCTTCCCAGCTCCCTAGGTCCAGGGCTCCCTACGTCCAGTGCCGCCTCACTGCCAGGACCCCCTCCCATGGGCTCACACTCCCACTCCCCATTCTGATCCCGGCTCTTTGGAGGCCGTCCTGCTGCCTGCCAGGACCAGGCACCAGGGCGGGTTGCTGTTGAATGGGCCTCCTGGCTGGGTTACCTGTTCCCATGGGGAGAAAGGTCCTCTGTTCACTGCACTCACAATGGCCTTGGAAACCTTCCCCTTGCAGCCCTGTAGGTGTGTGACAGGCCCTCCATGTGTGACGGGTCCTCCAGGTGTGATGGGTCCCCCAGGTGTGACAGGTCCTCCAGGTGTGACAGGTCCTCCAGGTGTGTGACGGGCCCTCCAGGTGTGTGACAGATCCTCCAGGTGACAGGTCCTCCAGGTGTGGGATGCGTCCTCCAGGTGTGTGACGGATCCTCCAGGTGTGTGACGGATCCTGCAGGTGACGGGTTCCCCAGGTGTGACAGGTCCTCCAGGTGTTGACAGATCCTCCAGGTATGTGACTGGTCCTCCAGGTGTGACTGGTCCTCCAGGTGTGTGACGGGCCCTCCAGGTGTGTGACAGATCCTTCAGGTGATG